GTGAAATGTGCTGATGATGCTGATATGATTACGATAAGAGGCTGTGGGCACCGAGTTCCAGATTGCCTTTGTGAATTTGCATATGTAATTCGAGTACATCACGACTGAAATAAAAACCATGGATGATCAATATCAATCAATAACTCATTTCAACCTCCAGAAAATACCTTCTCAATTTATGGGCTTTTCGCCATTTTCAATACATTCGCATGCTTAATGCAAGAGAATCCCCGTCATGACCAGCGATTGTCTGTCCAATTTTTGGTAGCAGAGACAGTCATCTACACGGGAAATGCTGTTAAAAGTTCGCCGTGCGGAGTGGCGGAAGGCTCGGCGCATATCAACTAAGACGTCTACGGGACCTTTGAAACCACGCGATAAGCAAGAAGTGTACTACTCGCGCGCATAGAAATATTACAAGGATACCTGGGCACATCATTTTTATATAGTAGACTAGCGAATGAAGAGGGAAGAGAGGCGGGTGTAAGATGACAGGACATCTCCAGGAGGCGGCTGTGCTGGCAGCACATTCCCATTTCGTATGGGCCGTTATCATCTTTCCCTCACGCTAGACGGTAGAACGAAAGAAGTCCTTCAAGAATTCAACGTGACTTCTCAAAGACCTTACGTTCCTCTGACAGTCTGGCACAATGCATTGCTCATTCGGTGCTGCCCTCTTCACGCTCTCTGCCTGAACGGGGCTGGAGACCCAGACATTTGAGACCGACGAGGGAGGCGGGACTGTAAGCTCCGTCAACAGCGCGCCAATTGCGCCGACCGGGGAAGCCATACGTAGATCGCCGAGCCTATATCCTTCAGTACCGGGAATTTGGGAAATCTGACGGTCGAGTCGTCACCTCTTGGAAGACCACCTGTCTGATCTTCTAAGTCAAATTCCCATTTTCTACTTTCGGTACTATATAGATGAAAGTCTTACCCTTGGAGCAAACAACTTGCAAAACAGTCAACAACAGTTATCTACAAAATGCACGTTGGGTAGTGCTGCGCGTCGCTTCCTGACGTGTCTCTGGATTCTCGAATCGACTGGCCGTGTTGAACGATAATCCACAAAGGGGACAACGACGCAGAGAATCGCTGTGGCTGCGACAGTGAGAAAGAAGTGCCGATGACGACGAAAAGACCTGAAATTTCTCCATACTATTCCTTCTGGGCAAGCCCGCATCATTCCAACGCAAGCAAAAGCACACGTAGTCAAGACAACTGAAGAATCCAAACTAACGAACCAACTTGAAATTTAGCTCAAATTGTCACTACTATTAGGTCGTTTCAAATAATCTGCGGCCTTTTTTGGGGACCACTCATTTGGAATTCTCTCTCTTGTTCCTTTCGAACCTAGAAAAACTGCAATCGGTATGGATGCCGTTTTGAAGAGCTTTTCCTGCTCTATCTCATGCTTAGCTTAGCTTTGTCCTAAAACATTTTCTTGTAGCTTTTCAAAGCTTTGAATGCGGTATACTCGATGAGCAAGTTGGCATGACTTTCTTTTTCTAGCTTTAAATAGACCTGAAAGTAGCGGGAACAGTTCAAAATATTAACGATGCACTTGGCCTAGATTCGCAATAAATGTGCTCATATGCAGTAGTTCGAAAAGTTATTGTAACGAAAGCGAGAGCCTTGGGTATGATACTAGTGGTAGTCAGATATCGGACGTTGCCACCCATTAGCCAAAAGTTCTGATTGAGGCACTCGTGCGTAAGACCATAGAGGAGGTTCTGCCCAACCTGGGCGTATATGGTTTGTAGAGCCAAGCTATACGGAAGTAGCTGGAAAGTCCAAAAAATTTGATGATAGGGCGTGCCGCGACAAAATCACCAATCTGAAGGGTCGTCCATCAAATTGTACTGGTTTTATGTGATGGTGAAAGCGACTCGTTTCTCTACAGATTTGCGACGTACAATAAAGAGCGGATTCTTCTCTATAGTCTACGAAAGTTTGCTGAATAGATCGACGGCGATGAAGCTCTACAAACTTTGCAGAATTTAAACTGTGCTGGAGGAGGGTTGTGGCAGCTTTCATGGGGCCAGCGGCTGGCCATGTTCTTCAGTATCAGATGGAACTGTTACAGTGGAGAATCAATCTTTATATTAAGTCAAAAATCATCAAAAACTCTAAGGACATGGGTCCAGCATTCCTCATTATAAAGGGTGGACACATCTCTGAAAGGTGTCCTGGACGTACATCGCACCGCCAACCCTTCACAAGTTGGACCAGCTGGACTTCAGAGTGATTCTGCGAACATCTTCACTTAGTAGACCTTTGGTCTATCTACTGTCACATTTCTGACGATCTCGATAGCTTCCTTGAAGAGAAATGCATTCAAAAACCAAACATTGATAGGCCGACACTGCGAACCCTCCCTTTCAGCTTCATCGCCTTCAACAGCTCCAGGCATTCTAACCAAGCAGTTTTCAAGTGAGAATGGTTCTTTAATATAGAAAAAGTTCGCGCGTAACGAGACGGTTTTTAATCAGCTATGGAAAACATTTTACATTATGCCGGAGATACATTGCCACACTTAAATTGCACTGGGTTCTGGAAAACGATAGAACTTTCTGAAACGCCCAATAAAAGTGGGTGGAGGTTGTTCAATAGCTCATATCCTTGAAAGCCTAATAGGACTGAAGTGCATTTACCTCGGCACCTTTTTTAGAACTTTCTCCAAAAATGTCTTGTACCCTTTCAATAATTTGATTATTGTAAGAAATATATTTTTTTCCGAAGATCCATTAGTATGTGGACTGTTTTAGAACATGAAAAATGCTAAATAAACCAAGCAAAATGATTCTCCAAGATGTTAGGGCGCGTGACTTATCGTTAGCTCACGCTGTCGCGAATGATCCAACAAAACTTATCACTTGTATGGAGGTTGAGCGACGTAGTTCAAATGCTTTGTTCAAGGCTCATTCGCTATGAATTCTTTTACAAGATTCTTTCTAACGACCATGGGAGGACTTTTTGACGGGTCCACACATATTCAATTCACTTTTGGATTACGGTATTTGTGGAAGATGCTGTGGAATTGTTAACTTACCATGGAGCACTGTTGACAAGCGAACGACTCGCTAGGTGATGGAGGAGCAGAACTCGATCTGAAAATGAATTTCATCAGGGCTATCTCCGCATGGAATAGAGGAGCGGACAAAAGTCTCTGCCAAAGCGTGTTTCTTGTGCATGACTTTAAGAACTCTCCTCAAAATATTGCTATTTTTGCCTTGTAGTTTAGTAAGGGATCCTTGATTATTGAGGTTCACGGCATTTAAAAGAAAAAATTACTCGGTTTTCAAAACTTTTTCTCGAGGAAAAGAACGTGGTGCACAAAAGCCACTTCGATTATCACTTCTGTAGGCTATTGTCCGAACAAAACTCCCGGTAAAATTGAAGGCAGCGATTACGATATGTTCTAGAGGGGTTTACAGGAAACATGGGGATGTGCCGCCGCTGGGAACACAACTCGTCCAAATCACAACAGAACTAGTGGGCGTGACGCTTCCGGGGCGGAGTGCCTTGAAAGACCTGCTCAGCAACCAGCGAATCTTTCGTCGTGGAAGCGCCCTCGATAGCCAAGCAACTGCTCCGTGTGGTTCGTACTCTTTATCGATGCGTTCTCGATTCGAATCGCGTTCTTAAAGTTTGGACTAGTAGAGGTTCGCGGGTAACGTTGTGTGTTCAATATTTCAACTTTTCCTGGTTTAAACTCCCAATCGTCTTGACGTGAATTGTGGAACGGTCACTGGGAAGTTGGAAGAGGGAATCCTTTTATGGAAAGGGAACAGTAGGACGCTACAGGGCATACTCGGCTGTGATACACACTCCTAAATGGCTTGATGCTTGAGCCTGCAGACACTGCCTGCTCCGAGCATCCAATTCAGAAATGCTCAATAAAAGCTAAATCCTGTATAAAAGCGATACTAACCCAGTTTTTGGCTCCGTGACATGTTTGAGTACATGGTTTTCCAATTGAACAGCAAATCGGAAACTCTCGTCACACATTTCACAGCAGTGTAGTGGTTGCTCCTAAAAATTGGTTAGCTAAATTTATTTCATTTTTGAGTATCATCCATAAAATAAGTGGTTATAATGAATCAGTGATTGTGGCTTGGATTTCAGATTTCATTTTTCTTTGATAGAAACACTTATAAATATGAGTTTCCATGGTACAAGAGCTCTATTTGGTTGCGCCATGCATTCGCTTTTCTTGAAATGCATTTCGTCCGCACA